CGGATTAACTTTATTTACATTGAACCTTATGGGGAAATTTGATTCGGTTCGCGACCAATTCGGTTTGTGACCAGAATCGTGGAACAAATTAAGTTCGTGAACCGAGGTACCACTTTAAGTAAGGCGTAATTGAATTGATATTGATTGAGCCTGTATTCTTTCTTAATCATGTTTTATGACCTACCAGGGTCAAATTAAGGTCCTTCTGCTCCAACACACTATTGCAAGTATCCTGTTCTACCAACTGACTGTAAATTGTCTGTTACCTAAAATGTATATATTAAAAGTTGAAGTAGAACATTTATACATTATATTGGGGTGGTGTTTTATGCAGTTATGAATGAGTAACTTGAGAGAGAGAGAGAGTAAAGTATAAATGTACTTGTAATTGCTGTTAAGAAGACTGGAAGCTGCTTCTTTATAACTTTTCTTTCTCGTCTCGATTTCTTTTTTTGTACTTTTTTCCCCACTTATTACTTTATTCTCCTTACTTTTCTCTTTCAAAATTTTTATTTATTTATTATTGAATTTATATGCTGCCTATCTCCCCCAGAAAATTTGTTTTGTTTTTATTCTTTCAAAAATGTCTTTAATAAAAATTATATATAGCAGTTATGAATGTTTATAGGTTTTATGTGCTGAGGTCAAATGTAATAATATTTGTATAATTAGTTAGGTTGAAGTGAGGTGAAGTCTGTTGCATATTGTCTTTGCATGGTTTTGCTTTACTGAGATTTAGTTACCAGGTCTCACAAGAGAGCTTTGCTCCCCTGAAAATCAAAAAAAGGAAAGTGTTTTAATTACAGATCTGATCAAGGATAAAACTTGTGACTGCCTTATTTCAAATTAAGTTTTTTTTACCTGAAATAGAGGGACATTATATAAGGCAATATAATTCATTTCATTTTCAACTTCTGAATATTGTGAAAACTCTGTTTTCAATTTAGAATACAATTACTGTTTCCTTACTGCTTTGAAGATTACATTTCTCATCAAACATTGGAAAACAAAGATTATTCATGGCAATTATCAGTAATACTTTTCTTCTTTTTTGATGTTTATTTCTAGGACACTGTTGATCAGACATCAGCACATACACGGCGAGATCTAGTGGAACCTGGATTCCAAGAACAATCAAGTCGCATCTCATTAAGTCACCAAGGAGGTAAGGGACATATGATACAGGCATATTTCTTTGGCATATAAGGAAAAGAAAAATTAGCAATACAGCACAATAGCATAATATTTTAAATATTATAACATTTTCCAGTTGGCAAAGTGCTGACGGAAGTGGTAAACTAGAAGGGTCCAAAATATTTTGTACTTGAAATGTCCCATACTTCTAGTTCAGAACAGCTCTGTCTTTACTCAGAAGTTTTGAACTTGAAACAATCCAGGTTTAAGCTTGAAACCTTTCTGGCAATGTTCAGAACAAATCAGTTTTAAGAATTTGAAACATTTTGTACTGTACACTCCTGGAGCTGTCTTTTGGGCTCAACACATCTCTTTCTTAGGTTGTATGTTAAAAGGAAATTGATGTACGTGAAGAGACGAGAAATAAGTTTTTAGGATTTTTAAAATTCCCACAGTGCTATATGGAATGAAATAAATGAGATAAAATGGAATGGAATTAAAGTAGTTTCATAAAATACAACAGAGTAGATTGTCATACAGTGGTAGTTGACTGTGCCAATGGAACAGTATGGTTGCTATAGTATTTTTATTCTCCTTACTGAAAATTTGATTGCCTTTAGCTGAGAATCACTCACTTCCCAATCTGTGAAACTCCAAATCAAGGAGTTCTCTAATAATTTCTGCACCTCTTCCACAATCCATTTAGAAAGCTTTAGTACTTGAAGCCTTCCTGGATCATTGAGTATCATTATCACAGCAGTCATTATTTCCTGCCTTTGGCTGACGTTTTTGGGTTCCAACCAGGAACAACCCTTTATGTAAAGCAATACGCTAATAGCAGATTGGCATAAAAAGAAAAGGCAGATCTTGTGATTCCCCAAGTTAAGGCTCTAAAACATTTATCACAGTTTGCCACTGATAGATTCCCTAGCAGATTACCTACCTGGCAGGAAAATAAAGGATTAAGAAAATGTCTGAATTGCTTTTCTATGGTTAAAGTTTCCCTCAGCCTTGGGCGTAGACTAATAAAGAAGTAATTAGCTTTCAAAGTTTTAGAATAAAACTTTTCTATAAATGTATATATGTGAGCACTAAAATGGTGTAGTGGTTAAGATGCTCTTCCTTAGGTATGGGAGCTAGCTGGCTGTCTATGGGCCAGTCACTTTCTCTCGGCCCTAGACTGGGAAATAAAAAGCATCTCTCTGCCAAATTGCACTGGACCATTGTGGTGGATTACAGCTCATAACCTTCAATAAAAAGGTCTTCATCATGTAGTAGATTGATTTGGGCTAATCATCATCACCATCGTCATCATCACCTGTATAAGGTAGCACAAAGAGAATTCTAGGCCACAGTTCTGGATTCATCAGTAATCTATGCCAGAATTTCTTGCCCTGTGTTGTTTTGAAAAGTATTATCAGTGCTGGAGTACTGGCTAACGCTCTGTGTAATTCTGTTTGATGTAATGTGCTGTAGGTGTTTTTATTTCAGATCAATTAAAATTTTTGATGTCCAGCTGTGACCCGTTGCAATTTTGGTATCATTCTCTTATCAGCCTTCTTACCAATCTGACTTGGCTAAGATTTAGAAATGGGTCTTACACATATCACTGAAGCAGAAAGGCCCTACCAGCGGGCCCTACCAGCATCCAGGCCTTGCAATGATCACCTCTTAGGAGTATTCTTTCCTAACATTCAGTTGTTTGTATACACTTAACCATCTAATTAATGCACAGCGTATGACCCTTACATGGAAACATATGCCACATTTAGTTTTTTTATTGTTTTTAATTTATGAGTTCTCTCTTTGTTTTTTTAAGACATTGAGAATTGATGATTATTAGTTGCTTGTTGGCAGAATGGAGTTTGAATGGTTTTTCTGCCAGAAATGTTCAAATAGGTCTCCTTCCACTAACTACTGATCTGGAGAAATACAAAGTGTTGAAAGGCTTTTGGTGTTTTTCAAAATAAGTCATGCTTAACCTTTATTCTAGACCTCTAAATAGAGTCACTGGGTGGGCATATAACTCTAAATATTTGCCAAAAGAATGTAATTGATTGTACATAATTTTTTGATTACTACTGAAGTTTAAGTTCACCAGCTTGAAGTCAGTTCTTAATCAATTAAGGATGTTCTGCAGAAAATAGTTAAGTGTGAATAATGGAAAGCCTAAATTAACTGAGAAGTGGTTGATGCTGTGATAACAAATGCAGTTTTAAGCTGGAGGTTCCCAGCCTTTTGAAGAAAGAAGGTTCCTTTAGAATTCTGAAAACACATTATGGGACACCCACAAGATGGAGGGAATAGCTGGCCACAAAATACTCCTTTACCAATAGGCAGTTCAGTGAACCTACTGGCAGTGGTGTACTGGTAAATGTTTAACAGTCATCTCTCGAGGGAAAAATGTGTGCATGTGTTTGTGTACACACACACACACGTAAGTTTATTATAAATTTTACAAATAATAAAAAATATATATTACTCTTTATTATAAATTCCATACACAATATGATTTAATTGTATATTAAATATACAATTATATATCTGTATACTTATAATACACAAAGATTTAAAAATGAATTTAATTTCATTTGACTTACCCACAATTATTTTTATAATCCTTTGCATACAAACCACAATGTGCAGAACTTTGTGAATCTCCATGTGCTGATTTCAGTATTAATTCTAGTCAAGCAGCCTGAAAATTGCAGATAAACTTAGGAAAATATGCCAAGTTGGAAAGCCAAACAGAATTCTCAAAAACTGGCAGTCGGATGAAAGCCACCCAACTAAGACTCCACCGTTAAAAAGAATGGGAGGGAACTCAGAGAAACGTGAATTTTAGGAAGATTCTTCTTTTGCCAGCTCTTTGTGCTAGCAGTGACACTGCATATGCCTGGGTCAGCCACGCATTAGTGACTGCAGATCACAGGTAAAAATCCTAAAGATCATTTTTAGGAACTTGTCAAAAATGCTCAAGTGGTTCAAGTGTCTAATCACAGTTAGACAAAGTTCGGCTTATGCAGTGTTTTAAATCTGGTTTTTTGTTTTGTTTTGTTTTTGTTTTTTTTACCCATGTAAGTTTAGTTAACTTGGACAGCTTAACACTAGGTTAGTGAATTTTACCATATTGTAAAGGGTTTCAGTAATTTAGTTTCTCTTAATTTTAGGTAAACGCAAGGCAAATTAAACAATTCACAGCATGGTGCCCAAAATTAATTTATACTGTTTACTGAAAATGAGTTTTGACATACCTTGAGCTAATTATGAAGTGTTAACTTTCAAATACTTGACTTTTGGTTATAGGTGAAATTGGGGTAGTCTTCGTTTTGTTTTAAAGGAAGTAGTGCCACCTGGTGGTTTTATGTTATGATATAACCAAATAACATCATGATAAAGACTAATTGTTGTTGCATACCTTTCACTGTTGGAATATGCAGAGTTGCAACTTTATATATAAATTATTTGAAAATTGCAAATGGTGAGATCAGTGGGAAGGGAAAATGTGGAAAGTGCACATGTTTACTTTATTAGGTGCAGCCTTTCATAAATAACGCTTGGATGATATCTTTCATTTTGAGGGTGGGGGAGAGAACAAAAGTAGCGTGATTTAAAAAAAGAAAAAGTCTGTCCATTTCAAGCAATAGGAAATAAATCTCAAGCTTTTGATAATATTCTAAATGCCTTATTTATTTATTTATTTATTTGGAGTTTGTTTGTTAAAGAAATCGATTATAATATCTGAGGGTGGATTGAAGTTTCTGTTTTTTTATCTTAATGCCATTTCTGATATTGGAGTGGTACCAGTTAGTTAATTTTTTGGCATGGAGATTGCCTTGCTCATTCTGTTTAGCAAAAAATGATGACATTTAACAAACCAAAAGATGAGCAGATACATAAACTCTGATGCTGCATGTTAGACCCTGTAATAAGATTGCCAGAGGAGATGTGGGGACAGAATTGGTGTCAAGTCTGCAGAGTCTGGCTGTGGTGCTTGTGCCTTGGATTGCTGCTGAGTGTCTGTTCGAGGTTTGAGGACTTGTCTGTCCCCTTCATGGGCCTTGTCCAGGGTTGGCTTTAAGTCATTGGTGTTGTAGCTGGCAGCAGAAAGCCTGTGTAGATACATCAAGGTTCGGGTGGGGAGCTACCTAGGCAAAGGAGAGATGGCAATTGAAACAACTAACAATAATACATAGTTCTGATAACCTGTAGGTCAACTGTGTGCTAAAATTGTTGCCTTTTAATTTAAATACAGTTGAATCCACAGTGTCCTTTGCCAGTAAGAGCTATAAGAAAAATTCCACTGAGGATGCTCTGATTGGAAAAAAGTGTTAATGGTTAACTTTTGCCCACTCTCTTTTCATCACAGTCTTCCATTATGAGCTGATGGAATTCAGAGAGAGCAATCTGCTGAGAAGAGCACTGAATTAAAAAAATGATGGTATAAATTAAGCAGGAAAGCTAGAGTTAATAGTGAAAAAGCCAAAAGAACCTAAATGTCAGTAGTGAGAAGGAAACAGACTTAGAGACTGATTTACAGAGAGTATCAGACATGACTGAAATAGCAACTCCGACTTGGGATTTTTGTGGTTTCTGAAGGGACATTCCTTTGTATGAGAGAAATATCGACATTACTTATAAATTGTGATGTAAATCTAAGAACGTTTTGGGATCTGCCACAGTATGTTTGAGAGGTTTTAAACTGGGAAATATCCATGTCAACCAGGAGTGTTATCTTTTTACTGGAGTCTGTCCTGTAGCAGATTATTTTTAGGTAGATGTCTAGCTCTGTTGATTTGACTTTTCACTTTGTTGATGGATATTGTAGATTGAGAAGCACATCTTATAAAATGTTTAACATGATACGTTACTGTCCAGATACATATTTATACACATATACATCATCATCATCATCATCATCATCATCATCATCATCATCATCATCTTATTATTATGGTTGGTTGCACAGATGTTTAGACTGGATTTTGCATTTTTATCTACCTATCACATCCTTCCCAAAGACCTGGGATAGGCAGATGTTGTTTGATGGTGTTAAAGGTATCATCACAGGATGTGAGCTGCTCCAAGTAAAGCTACCTTTTGCAATTGACTGGTGGTGATTTTGTCAATACTGATGGTCTTCAAGTGGTGCTCCAGATGTTTTGGGATTGCACCTAAGGCACCTGTAACTATTGGTACTAACTTTGCTTTCTTTTGCCATAGTTGTCATTATCATCATCATCATCATCATCATCATCATAATTTCTGATGTAGGCAGTGTATTTAGTGGTATGTTCTGGTTAAGCTGGAAGGGGATTTAGATACAGTGGTACCTCGGGATACGAATTTAATCCGTTCCATGACTCTGGTCGCAACCCGATTTGTTCGCAACCCGAAGCAA